TTTTGCTGGCTGTAGCAGCGCTATAGCGCTGCTATAGCGCTGCACAGCAAAAACGCATAACAAAAGTGGCGACTAATGACTTCGGAAGCCTTGCGACGGCTGCTTTCACTGTGCTAGAATTATGAGAAATTTCAATATCTTCTTGTAGAAATTTAGCCGCCACACTCAATACATATAAATTTTGGGATTTGTCAAAATGATATCACTTTTGTAGCTGTACTTTTTCCAAATGGTTTGCACCGGCCTACAATGGGTCGTTTCCATGTCGCATTGACAGGTATGAAATAGTTTGCTGAAGCGATTTGATGGAGAGGAGAAAGGTGCCAGGTATCAGTTGCAAAGGCAGTACAGATTTCTTCCACGTTTGTCACCCTGCTCCTGCCGCTTTGGTCTGTGGGGTCCGTTTTCTGTTCCAGTTCGGACATGGTGCCTCGGTTTTTTGCCATTTGGAGTAAATAATTAACTTTCAAAGCTGTGTCTGAGTGCTTGCACTACACACGCCTTTTCATCCGGAATTTTGACCTTAACTAGTTTTTGAGGCCGAACAGACTGTATATGAGCTGGTAGTAATAGTTTCGCACATATTCAGGTCTTGGTAGATGGCATCCGTTGGTAGTCCGACGGTATTCCAGGTCAACAGCCAGCTGTCGAATTCAGGGTACCAGTGCAGCGACATTATTGGTGAGTTTCAAGTTTTCCGACAAAGCTGCTTTTTTTGTGATTCATGTGCTGTAGCAAACGATTAAATACATTTCACGTACCAAGTTTACTTTAAATCTCAAGCTTTCACAGGTAAAGGGACATACTCAATTGTGCGACTAGCCTGGTCCAAAAAGCTCGCAAAAAACGTTGCAATCAAAATCATTGATACTCGGTGAGCAGCTCCTCAGTATTTTTCTCTTTCTGTAATTTGAAAACTTTTTTTGAAAGAGTGTAATAAATGTTCTGGGAAGAGGCAGAAAGTTTATCACATTCTGTAAATCCTAAATCCTTTTCCTTTGTTAGAGATTTTCCTTAATTTTGATGCTTTTCAAGACTTTTTGACAATTTTCGAAAGTATGACGATTTTTTATACGTGAGGCGTTGTTGTGACGGCCCGCTACAAGTCGGTTCTGAGTAGTGGCGGAGAAAGCAGCAGTACGTGAAGAGTCGATTCTGAGTAGCAGGTTCCTCGAAGAGTCGTTTCTGAGTTGCGGGAGTTTAAAGCGGTACCACGAGCAATCCTTTCTCGTTGCGTATATTTGCCTGGAGGCATGATCTCTCCTGCTGCAACCAAATACGAAAAAAAAACTAAAACTCTAGGAAACTCACTAGCGCTTTCTCATCGACGGAATGGCGTTCGGTTCTTTTGTAACAAAATTTTTGCTTTTTCTTTCGATTTGTAAAATTTATCTCTTTTTCTCGTCTTGTGATAAACATGTTCAGGTCAAAATCCGATTACATCGTTCGTTTTCTACCACGCGAATTGAAAATTGTGCCAACGCTTAATCACAACAACGTTGTTAAAGTTTACGATGCTAGTTTTTTTGTGTTTTTTAACAAAAAATTACGATGTGTGGATCAAGTCTGTGCATGCCTTCATGTTTTCACGAAGCTAAAAATGATGAAATATTATCGAAATAATGAGTCTTAATCTTCCTGGACATTTGTTCTATCATTGTCAATTCATTCCCCGTAGTTAAGAAAGGCGATCAAGCTGGCGAAGTTCCATCAGATTCTCAGCTTGGCTGCTGGTAGAATAGCTAAAAAAGGGCCTCGTTCCCTATCTGGTGAGGTGCAGAAATTTGCAGTGGATTTTTTTTTTTCAATGTCAATTTTCTCATTAGCCGTCGAGGGCGGGAAAAATGCTGTTTCCTTGTTTTCTCGTAAACTAATTCAGGACATCAAGGAAGAATATCAGACAGAACTTAAAGCCAGCAGCAACTGTTTCTGAGTTCCGACAAGCAGTTGGGAGAAAGTATGCAAAAAGCAAGAAATTAAATGCAGGCTTTTATCAAATTGATCACAGTGAAGTGTTGGGGCGATCAAGAAATAACAACTCTGTCTTTTGCTTTGTCCAAGAAGCTTAGCCCAAAATAAAAAATTACTTCTGCTCGCCATCAGCTTGCTTCTAAGT